AAAAAAAAAAAAAAAAAAAAAAAAAAAAAAAAAAAAAAAACAGAAAAAAATGTGCTTAAACTAAAGCTAAGAAAAACACACAAGAATTTATAAGTGTAGATTTCAGAGAAAAGACAGTTCTCCCACAACATACACCAAAACCCCCAAATAGCAATTACATTTAAACCCAAGTATTTATCATTATGGGTTTGCAGTTAACAGGTTTCTAACAGCTCCAACAGTTTCTAAACCAAGACTACTTTTTACCTATTTTTAAATCTTTGTTTTTTCCCCTCTCAATTTCAACATAAATTAATTCCTCTATGTCTGGGTTTTTTCCAGCATTCTTGGGATGTGTTCCCTCTCTGCTCCATGGCAGAAATTTCCCACTTTGAGCTACAACTCAATCTAAAAGGGAAACAAATGCCACACCGGGTAACTCCATTATTTTGTTGATAGGAATGTGAACAGTAGGGTGTCCCTTAGTGAAGTATATGTCTAAGTTTCAAGAAAAGTGTTACATTTACATGATTTACATTAGTTGCAGAAAGGTAGATCATTTACAACAACTGCAGTGGGGTGGAAGAAAGAAAAATGGACAAGAATATCCATACTCTTTGCTCCATCCATCCACTGGCCCCTTTCACCCCTCCATCTCTAGTTCCTACTTTCCAGCAAAGGCTGAAATCTCAGTTTATTGCTATGGCAGCTGCTACTCCCCTCCATATCTTACAAATTATTTGTATTGGTGTAATAATACACTATTCTAATTTGTAGCAACCTTCTCACTGCTTATGAAATTGATGACAATATTTCTCCAATTCTTTAGCAACATCATCTCTGGATTTGTCTCAGACAAACATATCCGTCACCACAAGGAAATGGTACATTCATTTCCCACCTGTAACTTCACTCTTGCAAAAAGGGTTGGGAAAGGAATCATGTGAGTCTGGCTGGCAAGGCACACAGATGAAGAGCTCTGCTTCCTAACTCAACCTCGGAACATTTAAATTATTTATTTTAGGATAAATCCAAAAACCTGAATTTATTTTTTCATTGCCTTGCTCTCCACATCAGAGTATACAATGAGATTTCCCCGTGGGGAAAAAGTGTTAGTGATTCTGCTTCTAGTTAAAAAAAATACAGCAGCAATGATTTTCACTCTGGGCAGGATGCCTCCAGAGACTTGGCTGGGCTTCTTAGAGGAGAAGCATCAAAGCAGAGAAACACAGACAGGAAAAAAAGAACTGTCTACAAAAAGCCTGAGTAAAAATACAAAGTCTGAGTAAATTCCATTCATCTCCATGTCCTAAATGAAGCAGTGGCTCAAATATAACAGGGAGAAAATCTTCTATTACTACTGCATGCACAACCATGGAGGAAGTATGGGGAAACTGCATCAGTAAAATGCAAGGGAATATGACTATTAATGCATAAAGATACTAGGAGCATTAACTTAATTAGAATAACCTGAAAACAGTTAATAAAAAGGTTGGCTAGAGAGACCAACACAACACATTGGGAAAAGATACTACAAAACTAATGGGTACTAAGGGGTTTGGTTTGCTAAGGACTTGAGAAGTCTGTTCAATTCATTTACACTTAGCACTTTCAACAGGCCAAAAATAATTTCACATGCAGGAATGAAGGTCTCCAAAAAAAAAAAAAATTCTATTTTCACATCCTGACATTTCTGGGTAGTGAGTAAATATCAACTTCTACAAAATGTCTCAGGCATTGCCACATATCACAAATCACCTCATTATGAAAGAGCATTTCTTTCAAGCATGTGATTCAGCAAACAAGAACAACAAAAGCTATGTTTAAGCTTCCATGTATTCAGACCTCTCAAACTCATCTCAAGGAAAAGAGTAACCAGGCACCACATAAACAGCTGAGGACTTTCAAGAACAGTCAGGTCCACCCTTGCCTTCAAGGAACACAAGACTAATGATAAGAAGCAAAGCTAAACTGTCACATCTACTTTGTGAAACCACACATAACCGCCCTTGGTTCAGTCTAGTGATCATATATAAAAGAAAAAGCTATTTAAAGGAAGATTTTCAAGCTTCCATTTGCAAAAAAAAAAAAAGCTTCACTCCTCAAAGTTTAGGAGAAGAAAACAATGATGCTACAGAGGTATCTCAGACACAGTACAGAACTGGGCATTTTTTTCAATATGGACAGAATAAATTCTTCTCAAGGTAAGTCAGCCAGAGGATAAAGCTTTCATTCAAATATCGTATCAAGCAAATCCACCCCTGCCTGAATAAATGTTTTGCTTTAAAAAGGGATTCTGATCAAGAGAGCCTTTTTCTACAGTCTTTAAAAATTGATACAAAAGATCCATTTCTTACCGGTACCCTACTTAGAGGCGGCTTTGAAGGAGAGGCCCCTGGTTTCACTACTGCTGTTGCAATGCTGCTTGATGCTGAAATATAGCTGGCCGGGGTGATCACTTGCCCAGGAGTGGCAACCGGTGTCAGCACAGGCAAACCCGTGGGTCCCAGAGGCAAACTACTCGGTGGTATACAAGTGCTAATGGATGTCAGGGGTTTGGTTGGTGCCACCACAGTGGTTGGTATGCCAGGAATGACAGTAGTTTCCATTACCAGTGATGTCTCCAGAGATACCGACGGATGTGCTGTTCCAACATTGCTGTGTTCACTGAAGAGAGAGCGGAGCTTTTCTTCCAGGGTCTTTATATCATCAATACCGGGTGCTTTAGACTGAGCATCTGCATCAGCCTCCAGACAGTGAGTATGGGGCTGGTTGGGTAATGGAGCTGGCTGAGGCTGACTGTGTATCAGTGTTTGCTGTACGGCAGGCAAGTTGGTAACAGGCTGTGGTAAGACACCAGGTAAGGGCACCTGGGGCAATACAGGCGTAGACATTGCACCTGGAATCGGGGGTAGGCCAGGTGTTGATGTAATTGCTGCTGGGATGAGTAAAGGATGTATCACTGGCTGGCTGGCTGATCCACATATGCTTGTTGCTACTGAAGACGATAAAGGTGCAGAGATTGGGAGAGACAATCCAGCTGCACTGCAGAGCTGTGATTTATCTACGGGTTGCCCGCTTTCAGAGAGGGATTGTGGAGCACTTACAACTGTTGTTTCTGCCAGACTGGAGACAGAGCCACTACTACTAAGTTGAGGAAGCTGCAAAGCCACATTCTGAGGCACAGACAGGGTAACAGACATCTGTGGCGCTGCCAAACTACTTACAATCTGAGGAGTAGATTGAGATGTCACAGCTGGTGCAACGACACCAGGACCAGTGACGCCAGGAATCGGGGTGGATGACAGTGCCAGAGAAGCCGGCGTGCTGGTACTAGGGGCAATGTCTCCAGGCAGTGGCTGAGCAGGCTGGGATGTAGTGGGTAGGGGGAAGGAAGCAGGGGCGCTCACGCTGGAAGCCATTCCAGCAGTCGACTGCTGTCCAGATTGTGAGGCTGCAGGCGGAGAAACAGAGCTTGGGACACTTGTGCTTGGTGCAGCTCCAACAGCTGCACTTTCTGAAGGCAAAGTAACAGAACCTGGAACAGAAACGCCTGTGGTGGAAGGAACGGATATTGAAGGAGCAGCTACTGCTGCTGAGGGAGCACCACTGCCTGCCATGGTAGAAAGCGCAGGTGGGAACGGTGGTACCGTCTGGTTGAACACTGGAGGAGCTGTACTAGGGCCTTCTGCCACTTGAGCGTGCCTGATCTCAGAGAAAGCCTGCTGCAAGCTCAGGGACGATGCCGAGTGGGAGAGATTCATTCCAGGACCATGTAAGGGAGATGCAGCAACTGAAAGAACAGAAAAGTGTCAGTCAGTGAGTAAATACACACACCTTGGCAAGTTCATGACAGTTTATCTCCTGTTGCTGGATTAATACCTCTAGGCAATGACAAAAAAGTTATAAATTCAGGCACACAATAAAAATCTAGAATTGAGGCTCAAGAGTCTTACAGAGAGCCCACTGACTTTCTTTTCAGAGACTTCTACACAATATCACCCAAACTACAATCACATCTTGAAAGCATAGCCAGGTCCTTACTTCCAGAACTACTTCAAGCCTTCAGGAACTTGTCAATTTAGTTAATTATCATCACGGTTTGGATGAACATGGATTACCCACCAGATTTTAAGAGCTTTAGCTAACTTACCCATATCTGCAGTTTCTGTTCCTCCAGGAATAGCGGAGCTGAAAAAGCTCTGTTCTTTTAACCGACTCTCAGGGACAGGGCTGACAATAAACCGTCTTCCTGCAGAATGGACGACCTGGGTAAAGGAGCTAGGAGGAACCCCTAAATGGAAAGAAGTTGAATATTTAATGATACATGGTTGTAACAATATACACAATCCGCAATATGGAATGTGCACTCCAACATACAAAATAAAAACGTGGCTGCACCCATCCGCTGAGAAAAGTAACTGGTGGGGAAGAAAAAAAATCACAAGAGACTTACCTGTTCTTTGTGGCATGGAAGATGTAGGATCTGGCTGTTTGAACTCTAATTTCTGTAAAGTAAGATAAAATTTAAAGTTCTATTCTGAAACACAACCCCACAAGATAGTTCCTAAAACGCTAGCTTACTGAAATGGAGGTATTCAGGGTAGGCCGTACCACAGACCCAAGTACCGTTATCAAGCTAGCAGAATTCTGCCCAGCTAAATGACAGAAACAGTGCTTTTAAGTACTGTGCTTTTAGAGCTTCTTGGTTTAGCAATCCTCAAACTGATGCAAATATCCTTTTCTAACTGGCAGTCCAACTGATTTCCTTGAACGTGCAACAAATAAACGGACGTTTCGGAATAGTTCTGGGTGAAAATAATACAGAGACTCCAGAAATGTCACCCCTCCTTATCCCAGCAATCAATTTCAAAGCCTGCATGTCCTAACCTAGCCTACCAAACTCTTAGTAGCTTCACTCTGGAAAAGATCAGAGCTCCGTCTCTCAGGTGTTTAGTAAGCAGCACAAAGCTGGCAGTTTTAGCATCCTGCTTCCCCCCAGAAAAGCTCCAACCCAAGAAGCTCCAGCACTTCAGCTTTCAGACTGCCTACCTAGCAGGCTATTAGGAGCTTCAGCAGCTTAGAAAGCGTCAGATCATGTCGAAAAGCATGGGCATCTACTACTTAGCTTCCTAAATTAACTTTAGGTTTTCATTCCGACCTGAAGCCTTCTCTGGTTGTGTGGGGGTTTTTTTGTTTGCTTGTTTTTGTTTTGTTTGTTTTTCCCTCCATTTCTTTTTTATGTGAAAGAAAGTGTCATTTTCTAGCTATGTCTACTCACAAAGCCCTACTGCCCCAAATGGAAGACATAGATAGCTACAGCAATCTGTTTTGAAGATTTTTGGTTTGTTTGTTTTCCATACCTGTGACCCTGGAAAGTAGCCATCATCTTTTGTCCGCATACTCTCCAAACCCTGATCACCTTCTGGCTCCACACTTACGTCCTCACTCAGCATTTCATCTGCTTTCTCGATAATTTCTCGTACCTGTTCTACAAATGAGTCTCGCTCAGTTGCTAAAATAAACTCATTCTGCACCTGGAAAAGAGAACAAAGCAGCAATGACTTTCCACATTTTTTTTCAAGGATATATACTGAATATTAATTCAGTATTGTTTACTTTCAGTGTTATTATTCATCTTCCCTCCACCATTTGTATGCAACAAAACTAAAGCTGGTGACCTCTTAAAGAGGAACAATTGTTTTTAAATCATCTCCAAAACAGAAATGGCTGCCCTGGTTTATTCTTCGCTATGGAACAACATTCAATCTCACTTTTTCTTTTTCCCTTCACCAAACTCACCTCAGAAACCTTGTTTGTCACAGTAAAATTGAAAACTAGCAACTTAATTCTCATATATCATATTTACAATCACATTTAAGGAAAATTAATATAAAAATGAGGAGATTCTACACTAGAGGATGTGCTATTCTCATTCTATGCTATGTAGAACTCTTCTTCTAAGTATGTTTCACATCACTAACTCCTCAGTTTTGGTGACATAAAAACGCAAGGATTGTGTTCCCTATACAGAGGCAAGAAAAGCATTCAGCCTATTTAGTTTCAAAGTTTACTTTGTTTTGGTATATAAAGTACATATCGCTGCCAATGTTGGAGGAAATGAGCTTAAAGAAGTATGCTTACATTAGACCCTGCGATGCACAGTTCAGTACTAGTTAAAGTGTGCAGTGGTCTAAGCTTTAAGATGAGCAGTTGCCAAACCTGTAATCCACATGGAATATGGCTAATAATCTACTCATTGAAAAGGGGGAGAAAGTCTTATAGTCTACTAGAAAGGCCTACAGTCAAAAGTTTCTTCAGTATTCAACCGAAATCAATAAATCAATGAGCAGGAAATTCCAGACTTAGTTGGTCTAAATTTTATTGTAGACTTTCAACCTAGGCAACTGCAGTTTGGATACATAGTTCACTTAATTTATGTTTTTCATTTTCAATATTCTGTTTTTTTTGTTTTGTTTTTTAAGATTCAGCAATATTTTGGTCTAAAAAAGCAAACAGAATTTGTTTAACCTGGTGCTTCCAGAAAGCTGTTTGTAATTTTTCCAAAAGTTAGACTGCAAACAAACAAAAGCAGGCTTATTTGCTAAAACTGAATGACTATGGTAAAAACAGACACAAGTCTTCATGTGAGCTGAGCATGCCGTACTAGCTTTGGGACAACTGGTCTTTTTGCCCAGAACTTCTGCTTACATACTTACACACTTACACTAGTACATACTTCATCCCTTACATAATTAGTAATTATTCATAGTGATATTAGTAATATTGTGACTAAGATTCGATTCAGTTCTTCAACTCCAAAATATCTTACCATAATAGAAGCTATTTCCTCAGGGTTGTCACCATCCAAGTCAAATTTGAAAGTAACCATTTTCCGATTGTGTGTCTCTAGCTGGCATTCCACTACCCGATCACCTTTATTTGAAACCTAAAGCACAGTAAAACAAATAAAATCAAATGAAAATATGAGAATACAAACCTTGTGTCTTAAAGCTCATTGAGACAAATCAAACACGCAGCTCCAAGAACACCACGCTTTCCTTTCCTGGCCTATTATCTGGTGCATGTACTGCAGCATCCTTTTGAGCAGCTACCAGTCACTCAAGCCTTCAAGCTCGCGTCGTCTACACTTTTTTCTAGAAGTTCCGTTTTTCCCTCCTAGTTTTTGTAGAGGCAAGATGCTAAGGACGTTGCCCCAGTACCTCAGAAAATACGCAAAAGACATCAGTGAAATTATCCCATTAAATTCTTGCCTCTAAATTTATGTCACTAGCCATACTTTGTGAATAAGAAGGCAAATGATATGGAATTGTCTGTAGAATCACTAGCGACTAAGTAAGCTAATTTTGCCATCTGTAACACTCCACAAAATTCCTAATAGGTGACTTTTGCAACAGCAACTTCAGAAGCAGAAGAAACATCTTATGTGCTCACAAGAGGTGGTACAGAACAGCAGCATATGAAACGAGCCCATAAAAGGCACATGTTCTTCAAGAGAAATCTGCCTTTGTAGCTCAAGAAAAGCATCACCAGTACCATGCTGCCACTAAAATAAAACATACTCACATTGAGAATTCTCAGTTTTGGCCTAGCAGTCTTCTCATGGCGAGAGCGGCTGCGGACAGACCTCCGCATGTGACGTTTGGTGGTCCTCCCTTCATGCCTTCCACTAGAAGTTGGAACGTTTTCATTGCCATCACTCATCCCTGAAGCAACATCAGAATGTGCACTAAAAATAAAAACAGCTTTAAGTTAGTACCCAGGCCAGCATACCAGCAACAACAATACCATTTACCTTACCCTTCTCCTCTTCAGGATAGCAGTGGGTGCCTGTTAACAGCAGAGCATGAGAGAAGAATCCTTTCAACATAGAGAGTTGCTCAGATAATAATTGCCATAGCAATTATTTATCTATATAATTTAAGATACTAAACCACGTATCTTCAGAACACTTTTTTCTTCTGAAGACTTCTGAACATGTTACTCAGGTTTTGAACTTTGTGATGGCAAAAGTAGAGAGAAAAAACATCCCTGGAGATCTGTCTGACATACTAAATAGAGAAGGGTTTACACTAGATCACTATACATGACTCTATTTACTTTCTCTGTATTCTGCTACAAAACAAAGCGGTCTCCAGCTCTTTAAGCCTGTTTTGCCTCTAGGAAGTTTATTTTTTCACATCCTCAAAAACGTCTTCGATGGAAAAAAAAAGATGCCTAGGGAAAAAGAAGAGTAATTTAACATGTCAAACTGAATTAAGTGAAATAAGACAATGCTTACCTATCCATAGAGGAAGCCAAAGGAGTAGACTGAGCAGGCTGTGTTGATGGCAGAGACTCTGAAGCAGCAGTCTGTGAGACTCCCTGAGTACCCTGTGGTAGAAACATACATCAAGAATCCCCTGAAAATCCTGTTCTTTTCTGAGTCACCAAATAGTCTTCAAGGTTCCTTCCCAAGTCAGCTGTACAGCAACCTCTCTAGAACTTTAAACAACTGGAATTTAGGTGGCTTGAATTTACAAAAGACTCTAAAGCAAACTGCAGTGAAGCAAATTATTACCTTGGGGAGGAAAGGGGCAGGGGATGGGGGGAAGCCAGCCATTCCTATTTACTACTTCATGTCACTACAATTTGCCATGCAGTCAGAAATCTTACTAACAGAATGTGCAAGAGCCAGGCCAATGCAGAACAAAGACAATTTGAACTTCTCCCCAGCAATAACAATGCTGCAGGGAATGGGTATAACGAGAGGCTATCAGCTGCCATTTGTCTTTTATATGGGAGAAAAAAAAAAAAGGATCTACAGTACTAGCAAGAAGTGAAGTGTTAACAGGTTTTTGCCTGTAGGAGGCACACTCACTTCCCAACAGAACAGCCAGTGACAACAAGGTCCCCACATTGGCAAGACATTCTGCTGTAAGAAAAAGGTCATTTGAAACATTAACATCCACCTGAAGACAAGCGGGGAAGGGGTCAGTTCCCCACACAAACATTGTTGCGCAACACAAACATCTCCGGTGTTTTGTTACCTTACATCCAACACAGGGCACTTACCTCCAAAGCTACCTGCTGGGAGGAGGCAGATGAGGCCTGTTGCGCTAAACTCACTGTAGGCGGCGGCAGCATCTGCACCTGCCCTCCTAGGCCACCCCCAGGAACTAAAACATTCTGCTCCACGTAGGGCTGCACAACAGCAGCAAGGTAGCCTGGCTGAGCCATGGCATCTGTGGGTAAGGGAGGGGACAGCACGGCAGAAGGAATGCACACAGAGGCCACAGCAGAGGAGGGTGCAACATTTGAGTCCCCTGAGTATTGTGGTGGCAGCCGAGATGGGAAGCCCTGCAACAGAAATGAAGCAGTCAAGTTAGTGCGTGTCAGTGCAAAATAAGCAACCAAAAGTAACAGCGGGGACAAAAGCCCCGCGCAATTCCAGGGGCACTTTCCAGCCACTTCCCCTCTGTATTGTTCAAGCACACTCAAAGACCCCTTTCCCAGAGCAGATTGCTCACATAGCAAAGCTCAGCTTATGAGCTACCATGCTTGAAACAGCAAATTCCCACCGAGAGGTGTCAAGTCTTTAGCAAGGAATTCCACATCTCCCCTGTTGCCTACTTGACTTAATACATAAAGATCTGAGATTTAAAAGACCTTGTAGAATTTAAGCTGAACGGTCACCACACAGAACAGGTTATACAATTGCTGCTGATTCTTCAGACTAATATGAAGAACCCTCCCCTCTGGTCTTTCTGTCCTGTGGTGATGAGTGCAGGAACCAAGCGACATTCCTATGCACAGCTCCTGCTCTACAACGTTGCATAATCCCAGCACATATATGTCTATATCTATATGATATTCCTTCTAGAAGGACAATCACGTGCTGAGTCACCATCTTTGTCCTGTTTAGCTGGTCATATTCACAGCTATTGCAGAAGGCAGCTGAAGCAGTCCTTGCCCACCACTGGCATTTCATGACTAGCATCAGGTACTTACTCCATGTTTAAGATCCATGCAGTCTGGCTTATTGCTACAAAATTCACATTTCCCTCCCTCCCTCCAGACTATGAATGAAACCCTGAGTTTGCTGAACATGTTGCCACATACTCTTTCCAAAACATGGCCCTCATTTTTAAAATCACAATCGGAATGTTTCAGCTCTCTGCACTTTTCCAGGCTGACGGATCTCTTGGACGTGCAAGTTCCACACACAGTGGATGACTACAGGTCTGCAGCAACGTCTGCCACCTTAGATCGATTCCAATGCCAACTAAGAAAAAATCTTAAAATAACAAGGAATCCAAGGACTTTTTATTTTTATAGCCCTTTGTCCCAAAACAGAACACATCTCTGAGGCTCAGTGGCTCTCCTGTGAGGAGTAAGCTGGCCAGGGCGCACAGTTCAGGTCTGGTACCATAGAGGAACAAGTGAAAAATGGGGAGAGGAGCTCTGCTGGCTTGCAACAATACCTGGTAAAGAGCATCTCCAGCAGGAAGTGAAGCTTCAGCAGCTTGTCCAATGCTGGCTGGCAATCCCACGGACTGGACAGCTGGCTGCAGGAGCTGCGGGAGAACCTGGCTGGGCAGCTGAGGCACAGGCTGCATCAGCGTGGGGAGGTGGCTAGGGACAACAGTCGGTCCTACGGGGACAGCGGGGGGCTGATTCATGCTGGCTGCCATGGAATTGGGCAGCGACTGGAAACCTGGCTGAGCCACTGACACGTGAGGAGCTGCTATGGGCAACTGCGAGACTGAGAACTGGGGGAGCATGGAAGTTGTCAAGGGCTGTCCCATGGGTAGGAAATGAGAGCCAACAGGGACTGGCGGGGCAACTGAAGGTTGAGGGAGAGAAGGTGCTGCAACAGGTAATTGAGGCTCGCCTTGGATGATCGACACTGGTTGGGAAACAGGAAGCTGGGGAGGTAAAGAAAATAGAGATAGATTTTTGTTCTTTAGGAAGCAGGGTTGCAGAAAGCAGAACTTTTACGCATTAGTCAAAGAAAGAATTATTCAAGCTATAGCACTCAGCTCAAGTGTGAGAGGGGAGCACAGATGGCAGAGTGGCTGGGAAGTCAGCGGGAGTTCCCAAAGGTCCTCACATTGCAGTACTTCCCCGGAAGAACCCAACACACTCTTGAAACTCACGCCACGGAGGGCAAAAGAGCAGTGTCTGAACAACCTGAAGCGCTGACATATGCTTGAACAGAACCCAGTTCTCCTGAACTCTGGCCCCAGCGCCAAACCTGCCTTCTTACGGGGAAGAAGTGCAAATCTCTCAACAAGTCTGTCCACTTTGGGAATGCAGACTAAAGCAATGGAGAATGAAAAGCCACTGTGTCAGCATTCAGGGAACGGCAGGGGATATGTCAACTGAAGCCAGCAAACGAAGCAACTGGAGAGGCAGTTTACATGGACAAGCAACAAAACAATAATTTAAAACACACAAAATCATGGCTCACATGTTCAAGACCGAGATATGGGCCAAAACAAGTTATAGTCAGTAACAGAGGCTTCTTGATCAGGGAGTAAAGAAGAAGAGTTGAATAAGACAGAAGACAGAATGGAGAAGGCAGTCCTTTTGGCTCACTACCTAAGTGAGTATGTTTTACACACATAATGGTGCAGAAGATGTATGTTTTATGGGAAGCAGAGAAATGACAAGTTCCTGAAAATGCATTCATAGTACTCTTCATCTATATCTCATAATATGTTGACTATTTAAAGATCTTTGTGCACAGAAATGCAATTCCTCCCTCAAGTTAAATAATTCATGACTGCCACATGTCAAAGAAATGGCTTCCAATACGTATTGGTTTCCAGCAAAACTGGCAGTTGTAGTACGCTAAGAATACTACTACCCAGATGAATGCTTTGGAACCATTAGAAAAGAGGACAAAAGTGAAAACAGCCTGTTGGACTTCTCAGCTGTTAAGAGAAAAAAAATTTGCTAGAAAGAAGAATATTGTTTACCTGTGTCCCAGCTGGTGCCTGAGGCATTGGCATAACCTGTGAAGTCTGAGTTTGAGAGACCGTTTGTGTGGGAGTGGCGCCAGTAGAAACTGATGGCTGCTGCAGCTGGTACTGTCCAGCCTGCTGGGAAGAGGCTGGTGGCTGCACATTCTGTAGCAGGGAAGAGAGACAGAAGTTTTTTTCCTCCTCCCAATGGGAAGTTTATAAAGCACAACGCAAGTTTATTACCAGCACCAAATCTCGCTTTCACAACTGAAATAGGAATCCTGCTGCAAGAGTGCAGATTCTACAAAGAGAGGATGGTGAAGAAGAAAGTATTTCAAGTCAGAAGAAATTATACAAATGAAGTCTGCCTGTCTAGACAGTAATTTGCAAATCCTTATGTGCCTGTCCTTCAATGAGACCTCTGCTGCAAACTCATGTGGGAAAAGGATATATGAGAACTAATATTTAACATGATTGCAACAAATGTCAAAAACTCAGTGCAGTTAGCCTCATAACTTTCCTTTTAAATTGCTCAGAGGATTCCTTTTCTGATATCCAAAACTATTGGGCTGATGATGAGGGGACTGGGGAAAGGGATAGTTCTTGAAAAATCATCAGAATTCCATACAGAAAGCATTTTAGCCCCAGTTTAAAACTTATGATCTTACCTGCTGAGTGTGTTGGGTAAGCTGGGATGGCACTGATACACTGCTTGAGGCTGACTGGCCTTGCACTTGTGTCTAGAGGAAGAGAAAAAGAAAAAGAATGAGCCTAAACGAATCTATAGTTTCCACAGATGGCAGTTAAAATTGTTTCTGGCTGCAACAATTTGGCTGAAGAAAGTTTCTAGCTGTCCTTCTCGACAAGCAGTCATTTTGGCCAAATTCCACTACAAAATCCAGAGCAAAGCAGAGCAATCTGGAAAAGCATCAAACTCAGTTTTAAGTCTTTCAAAACAACCAGTTCTTTGTAACCCAAATGCCTCTCAACATTAGACAGATCAGCCTACCAGCTTCTTCTTCCAGTGATGATGCTTTAAGATCAAGATGCCTCGGTATGATAACTGGAAATAGAGGCATTAGATTTTACCTTTACATCTGTTCTGAACACATTTAAGTGGGGCGATAGAAGGAGGCTAAGAAGGAAATAAAACTGTATCTGCAAAGAATCGAAGATATACAGAGTTCTAGACCAGTAGCAAAATACTCATGGGCTCTCTTTGAGGGGCATGTTGAAATTCAGGCTAAAAAAACATATATTTTCAGCTCATCACCATTGAAAGGCCAACAAAAATCAGATACTGAAGAGGCTGGGATCTGAGTCCAAGCTAAGACAGAATTTTGAATCAGTAAGCAATAAAAAATAAAAAAAGGTGAATGGCATTACAAATGAATGTGGAAGATGCAGAGAAAATGGAATGGTGATCAGACCTCTGAAGTTTCACTATTATTTTTGCAAGTATTACATTTTTTTCCATGAGATCCTGGGACACAACTAAGCAACAGAGAAAAACACCTACAGGCAAGTTCCCTGAGCCTGCATCGCTTTGGGAATTGCCTTTGTAAGAAATGTGTCTGGTGTGTGTGTATTATATTAGGTATCTACTATTTTTTAAAAAAGGTACTCAGCTTGCAGAAGCTTAATGGCAAAAAGTTAATTAAAATGACTTTTTTTATTACTCAAGCAACTTCAGAGAAGTGAAGTACCATGAAAATAAAAGGGTTTTATTTGTTTTTTTGGTTTTTTTTCCCTCTATTTTAGAAGCTTTTTGAGGCTCTTGCTGCTAGAAGGATTAAAATGTTCTATGTTCCTTTGCTCTAATAGCTATTCACACTGTATCTATTTACACTTTTTACATCCTGCTCTTGAATGAGTTGGAGAAGAGGTCCCAAAATATATGTTCTGTAAAATGATTACCCCTTATTACATTTTCCAAACTTGCTTTGCATCCACCAGAAGTCACCCACTGAAGTTTTTTAACAAGGCTGTTTATGGAGAGAGAATCCCCAAGCAGTTTTCAAACCTCCTGCATAGTAACTTCACTCCACAAGTTCTCCTAAAGCACAGAAATTACCATCTATTGGATTAGTGCTTAAAGCTGGGCTTGACAATCTTATCAGATACTGGAGATGGAATAAAGGACATCTCTTATGCCACAGAGAAAGTTCCAAATTCTTAGTACTTGATCTTAGCACCAACGAAACAACAGTTCTATTTCCTTCAGACAAATCACAAACTTGCTAATACTTCAATAGCTAAAATGTCAGAGTGCCCTTAATTTCAACAACCGAAGGAGGAGGTTAGAGAGATGTGCTTTAAGTAAACCTTCTCTTTTCACACAAAACAAATATCACCTTGTGAGAAAGTTTTTTTAGAATACAACCACAGACACAAGGTATTTGTGTACACCTGCTGAAGGATATCACACTGACTACTGCAAGTGAAAATATCATGCACACTTATACCTTCTGCTGCAAATTTTGCTTTTTTAAAGGGTACCATATTCCTAGCTTAAAAGGAAGGCAATACCTATTAACAACGACCATTTGTCCCACTAGTTTACTACCCAGCTTCTTTACTTTCCTTTACGATCCCTCAAGTACATTTCCAAATCTAGGAACGGGGACATACATCACCCCCATTCCTCTTCCTCTGTGCTTCCTTTTACCCAGTGTTGTCCAACAAATCATTATTCATATCAGCATTCAACTTCAAATAACACATTCTCTTTAAATGGCTACAGAGCAGGAAAAAATCATACAAAATAGGTACTACTATCACTACTGCTTCAAACACAATGGAAGATGCATTTCATTTAACCCACGGGTCAATGGCTAGTTTTTTATTACAGCTCCCTGTTTCCAAAGTGTTAACTAGCCCAAGGAGAAACACTCACCATTTGCTCCCCTTAACACACGAGCTCATCCTACCTTTCACCTGAGGCTGAAAACAGAGCAAGTAGTTGCCGCTGCTTTATTACTTAACGACAGCCCTTTAAGTTAAAGACACCCTGGGAGCTACCGACTGAGACACCCCGACTGAGACACCCCTACGAGTGCCACAATTTAGAACCACATGGAGCAAGGTTCCCTTTATAAAAAGCAGAGAAAATCTGGAAGGCTTTTCTCCTGTAACCTGAGGATAGAGGCTAGGTGGTCCAGATGGAAGCGAGGTGGACAAGGCCTGCTGACTCGAGGCTCCCTGAGGGAAGCAGATGAAGAGCTGGGACTCCTGCAATACCTTCTGAGGCAGCTGAACAACAGGCAAGGAGAAGTCTGAACCAAAAGCAGATGAGCCTCCCGTAGGAGGAGGAGACTGGAAATCGCCAGTGTCAGAAGAAGTCAGCTGTGAGGAATCACTGGAGTACTCTGGGCTTCCTTCTGGCCAGCTCTGCCTGGCAGAGCCCCCTCTGGGACCTGCTACCTCAGGACCAAGATAGTTACACTGCTCCTCTGTCACAGGCTGAAGCCGACCATGCAACCCTACGCCTTGCGCCGTTTCCTCTTGGCTGCTCTCCGCGGAGCACCGGCGACCTCTGTAGACGCGCGGGGTCAAGCCTCCGCCTTCCGCGGGAGCCGAGCTCGGCGTGTGCACGTGGAACTCGAAGACGCAGCTCGTTCTGCCATCCCCGCCGTGCGAGAGCACAGCCGGCGCCGAGTGCGGCACGAACACCTGGTGGAAGGTCATCTGAGCGGGCTCGGCACTCAGAGGAGCTGAAACACTGGATAATGGAGAAAGAGGAGCCATCCCTGAATCCAGTCTCAGGTTCTGGACATGCCTTGCCAGGTACGTTTGCCCAGACTGGAAGTCGAACACCGAGCTCTGTGGAGGACCACCTTGCACGTGCTTCGACTCAGAGACCTGCTTCAAGTGTTGCTCAGCCGCAGGAGAGCTATAAGCGACTTGATCGTACTGCTCCTGTGATGGATAGTGCATGCCCACCAAATACACGGCTTCTGGATGCATTCGGTAGTGAGCATCCTCCGGAGGTGCTGCTCCCGATCTACAGTCACTGTGCACAGGAGCTGGCTCAAACACAGGATTGACTTGCACATGCAGCGGCTCTCCAGTGACTCTGTGAGCTGTGGTGCCCAGCATAACCAGTGCCTCTGGGGTCCAGTTGGTGGGACTGCCACCAGGTGGGACTAAACTCTGGCCAGTCTTCAGCACTGGCTGGAAGTGGCAAGTCTGGGCTTCCAAAAATGAGGTGCTCTTGCGGCGCTGAGCAACTGCCACCTTCGGAGGGCAGATAGGCGGTGGTGAGAAAGACACCGGCCGTTCATGAACGGTTGGGAAAAATATCTGTGAATCTGGGAACGTTGGTGTTCCCCCACGCGGATGCTGAGGCTGTATTGACATGAACAAGACAAGTAATTCATACATTAAAAGTGAAAGCACATTAACATGCACAGTTCACTAGGCAGTTCTGCGAAGTAACTTTATAGAATGGCTACTAAATTCATGGTCAAAAACATACAGTACTTAGGAAAGTTAGATGTGTTCTATATATCCATTAAATACATCCATGGCAGGCACAGCTACAAATGGAAATATTTGCTTGTGTTAATAGCTGCTTTTCCAGTCCAACCCCAATCACTCACCACAAAAAAAAAAAAAAAAAAAAAAAAATCAGTTATGCTCCTAACAATGAAATGGGATATATTGCCATAGGTTATCCATTAGTATCAGTGCTCATAGCCCAATCAAATCCCTAAAGTTAGTGCTGCATATGAAACGTTAAAGTTCAGAACTTGCTAGCAGCAAAAACACAGAGCCCCTATTTTACATTTACAAGACAAGAATGGCATGAATTCTTAAAATTATCTAATGTAAAAAACACAGTATTGTTGTCCTGCCAGGAGCCTGTTTACCATATAACACCCAGAGAGCTAATGAGAGACCCTTTAAGAAAAGACTGAAGAATTTCAACCTAAAAAAACAACCAAGCAACAAAAACACCCCAAAGATCATCACTTTTGATCATTTTTGGAAAATTTTGACCATTGTTTTTCACACAACTTTTTTTTTTTTTTTTTTTAAAGCATTCACTGAAACAATACACTGTTCTTTTTCTTTTGCCTTGATGGTAAAACATTCACAGAATTAGAATCCTTAAAGCAGTTCCACTCCATCTGATGTACTATGTTGTATGAGGTTCATCTTTAAGAGTTGTACGAAACTTTCACGTGAAGAATACTATGGAAATTCTGTAGTTGTTCCTTTTTTTTCTTTAAAAAAAAAAAAAAACACCTCTGCCTACAGTATGCTGAGGTGTACTACAGTAGGCTGAGAGACAATATATTATGGACTCCAAAAGCAAAGACTGTAGGAGTTTGCAAAAAGTGTACTGTCAAGACCGGTGCTATTTATAACTTTTTTCAAGTTGCTGTTTCCATTAGGTTGTCCTGTTTCTCTCCCACCCGCTTCCAGAAAAGCAGCAGCAAATTTCCATATTGAACAATACTAATAATATGATCCTATTGAATGAAGAGATTTTCCTACGGTCTGTGAATTTCAAATACAGAGAAAATTTACCTCAAAGCTTATTTTATTATATAAATTGAAGGACAAAACCAATTACTGAAAAGGATCACCTCTTGCCCTTCTTTTATCATCCTGCACCTGACCTGCAAGCAGTTGCCCCAGAAATAATAGAAAAACATGACATTATGGCTTCCTCCCCTGAAGAAGTTAAAGCAGTATTTCCTATTAAAACTTACAGAAAACCCCAAATAAGTTTTCAAATTACAATTTTTTAGTACCACAATCACAGCTGGCCAAAGCTTTTAGGGTAACCAGCTGCAGGAGCTAAGCTTTAAAAGCTGGTGTTTAACATTCCCAAGTAACAATCAATTCTTGCACATAAGTTGAAAATAAAGAAACGCTGAGAACTAGTCTTCCCTTTATCTTCTGCAGTACTGTTGACCAATTTATACTAGCCTAAAATTCTAAATCAAACATTTCCAAAGAGCAGATGACCACTTCTCACAAAAGATCAAGGTTCTAGCAGCTTAGTTATACAGGACAAAGAATCAACTTTTCATTTTGCCATTTTAAAAATGCCCAAAGCCAAGGATGTATTTAATGATAACTTATCTTACTGTGCCAGGAGGCAAATGGCAACACATACAGGACTGACAGAGAGGGAGGGCAGGCTGGAGCGTCGGTGCTTGCGTGGAGAGGCAGAGTGCATGGGCAGGACACTTTCCAGGGCTTTAGAAAGCTTTTCTGCAAAGGTTTCTTCAGGGACAGTCCGAAGGTAGAAAGGAGAGAGAGGTGCAGACAGCGCTGGTGGTGGGGTGGAAGGAGCACTGAGAGGGATGCAGGACATAGAGGGAAGAGCAGGAAGGTGGGGGACACAAACTGACATGCTACGACCACGTTGAGGCTAAGGAGGAAAACAAAAGTTAAGAATTGAACATTTCAAAAAAAATGAAAAACAAAACCAGCAAAACTGTAATGATAGAAAAGAAATGCAGACACACAATGATAGGCCCAGTACTAACTACTATGTGTGCAAGAAGATATGAAAATGCTGAATGGATGCCAACAAACACAGGGAACGAGACATATGCACCCTGGAGGACTCAAATTTGTCTTAGATTACTGAGCACTGAGGAAGGTTTCATAGGGTCCTTACAGGAATTATACTGAAGGCACAAAAGACAGGAGAGACTATCTGCTCTGGTGCCACTGATGTGACATTTGCAGCACTGGGTAGTTTGACAAATGAAAAAACCCCCAACACTTACTGAGCAAGCTTTCCAGCCTCCCTGCTTGCTTAGATCAGTGTGTGTTTATACATATTGCCTCACTGGTCTCTCTGTTGGCCCCTTCCTGGGTTGGCCCCTTCCTTGTCATCTACAACATCACCATAAAAATTTGCACTTTACAGATCATGCAACATGAGCTGCAGAAAAACATTGTTTCATTGTTTGGAAAATGCTGTAAAATCAGTCTTTTGGAAAAGTATTTTCCAGATGCTGAGCCAATAAAAGCACCAAGATTCTGTAATCCTGCCACAACACAGAACACAGCAGGTTCAAATCCAACCATCTGGAAGAATCTGAATTGCCTTTAAAATGAAAGTGAATGGAAAGATGAAGTTTTAGAGAGGTATAAGCTTCCTGCAGATATTTTCTGCACAATTTCTTTACAAAATTGAAATCCAATACAAACCTGCAGGAAAAATAATTCAGAAGTCCAGTAGAAATTTGTGATTTTTAAGACTTCTGATAAATCTTGCAAAGCTACTCAAAATCTTGAGAGAGGGGGACAAAAGGGACTTCAAATGATTACATACTTTATCTTTCATCTTAACCCTGTCCCAAGGCAAGCCTAGCTACACATGGCATTCTTGAGTAGTTTGCCTAGCCTCTTCAGAGACATCTCCAGAAATGGAGAATGCAGTGCTTAACTATGCTTGTTGCTTACAAAAAAACCTATCCTGAGCAGTATTTTCTGCTGCAATTCAGGCCCATTATTTCCTATCTTCTTTGACAAGGATGTGGGGATCAGATTACTTTCTTTTCCAGCAGCCTTTACATACTTAAAGCTTTCTCTCTCCTTCAACAGACTTCATTCTTTCAGTCTTCCCAAGTAAACCATATTTTCTAGATTTCTGTGACTTTTATCACTCTCCTCCGAATTCTCCTCCAATTCACTCTGATCTTTCCTCAAGCAGGGTGCCCAGAATAGACTTACCAATGGCCAGGAAGAGTAGAAGAATTACTTCACAAAGCATGTTTGCCTTTTTCACAATAGCATGATGTTTTTGACCATGTCCAGCTTGTGGTCCAGTGTAATCCCTGACTTTTTTTTGGCAGAATTGCTGCCTAATCAAGTTGTTGTTTATCCTGCACTCGTGTAGCTGATCATTCCTGTTTAAGAGTGAACTTTGCATTTGTTCTTATCGAACTGCATTCTACTTCTTTTTAAGGCCATTTCTCCAGGTGTCAAAAACATTCTGACTTGTCATCCTGTCAGTAGTTGCTGGAGTGATCTACTCCATCCTGTCAACCTTCTGGAACCGCTGTAGTCACCACAGAGCACGAGCACATTTTAGTATTGTACTAGGCAGCTTAGCTATGCATCTGTTATGTGCTTGTTCTCCCATCCTCTCTCAAAAGATTAAGGTCTTTCAACCTGGAAGCTGGCCATTCCAAGATAGTGGAATGGCTTCTGGTCCAAGATCCCACACACCAAAACACAGTTTACCCAGAGCCAGAGCTGCTTTATAGGACTTAAAAACTCATCTGATCAAAGAGCAGCAGTATCACAAAGCTTCAGGTTAAATGTCTTAGGAAAGGATGGAGAGGCTTTGCTTGTGAGTGCCATCAAAATCTTGTTCTAAAGGGTAATACCACCAATGACTCTTCAATAAACTTTGCAACCACAGGTACAAAAAGGAAGGGAAAAAAAAAGTGAGGACCCTTAAGTCTTAGAAGTGTTACTTCTCTCATATGGTTTTACTACATTATAGAATAACCTAACTCAGGTTTAGACTTTTTATTCATTAAAAAAAAGAAAGAAAAAAAAAGACAAGGGAACCACTGAAGACAATACAACAGGAGCAGAAGTTCTACTCTAGTGTTGAAGTAGATTTCTGCATACTCTCAAACTGGGTTCTAAAACATACCAAGGAAAAAACATATCAAAAAAAAAAGAAAAAAAAAAAAGAGGGCAACACAAATGAACATAGTAGGAAAGGTATTTTGTGCCCAATGCAGACTTTCCGGGGTAAAGTAATATGCATGGCAACTGATGAGCAAATCAACACAAGCTAAAAATAAAAGTGGGTACAAGGATGTGGGTTTTTTCAGTCTGGAGTTCTCACATGCAGCATTCTATAACAGTTAAAGATCTTACCTGCGGTGTCTGCAATCAAAGCCTCACAGAACATATACAACAGTTTCACACTTATACAGCATCTTAAATTACTCTAATCCCTTCTTCAAATCAACCCAACAACTTGATCCCTGATAGCTTAAAATATACGCACAAAGTAGCTTGTAGCATCTTTCTAATTGAGATTAAACACTCATTTTCATGACACAACTTTATCCTCACAATGTTATATCTGTCACAAGAAACTACTAACCTATTAACCCACCAATTTTGCCTCAATGCATGCTCAAGATCAAATAAAAATGCATGCCTTAAAGGCAAATGGGCCTTGCATGTTTTTACTAGCCTTGGGCCCATTGGAAAAATACCCCATTTACTGCTCCCATGCAGAATTTGTATCGCATGCAAAACAGTGCGGGTTGGCTGTCAGATTTTCCTCTCGCCTTTCAAGAGAAATGCAAAATAAGATACTTCCAAGTGCTTGTGATGCTGTAAATTCTGGCTTACCACTGCAGGTGGCTGATATCCTCCATGCTGTTGTGACTGCACTTGGCCAACTGAAGCTGCGTATCCCGGGACTGCAGCTGTTGAAATCGACTGCTCATGTTGGGAGCCATAGGACACGGTCTGTTGACTGCTCACACACGATTCGGTATAAACAGATGACCCCTGGCCACTGTCAACTGTCCCATCAGCTGCAGATATTCAGGATAAAAATCCACATTTGAAAAACTGAACTCTGAGTTCACGTTTTAAAGATCCTACAATAAACCATATGCTAGATTGTGTTTATGTCGTGCCATGTTGGCATTATCAGCCTTTTATTTCTTGTAGTATTTAGCCTAGTGTGAAAATATAAGAATTTTTTCTTCCTCAGTCTAATAATGCTTTACTAATAGGCCTTCCCTTAATCCACTGAAAATGGGTTATCCTGCTACGTATGGTCAATAAAAGAGGTAATGAAACAGTTTTCCAGAAAACTGAATCATGAGCCAAACTCTTTGCGTCAATCTAATTGCTACCTGAAACAAATTTAACAAGCAAATAAGTGTTTCTGATGGCTCTAACTGCACAGGTGTAAATGAATGTAACTGCCTAGAGGGCTAGAATTTACTGTCCTTAATAGCAGAGTAGCAAAATCTAGGACATTTGTTCACACTTCGGGTGCCCTGGTTAATTCAATGTATTAACTTAAAATGCAGAAAAATAATTTTGTGTTAAGACGCTACACTGTGGATTGTGCCATGATTTGGCTCAGCTAAGGCATCTAATTTTGCCATGTCTTATAGGGTTCTAACGTTCTTCAGGAGTCAGCAACATCTTAAGATATTTATTACTATACCCACCAGGAGTTTAAAGACTCCTTAAGCAGGAAAACACTATGTGCACAAGAAAGATACAAAAATAAACCGCCTGACACACTTACAAAGAACAGATATACTGGGTTGCTGGAACTGCAGCTGTTGGTGTTGATCAGCTTCTGGTTCTTCAGGCTCCACTTGTGTGGAAACTGAAGCTGAAGTAGTGGGGACTGAAGTAGTACCAGTGACAGACTGGGGATGCTTTGAGCCTGCATGGGAAGTGCTTGATGGTTGTTGCTGCTCCAGCTGTTGCTTTTGACTACTTTCTTCCTGCAGCTTCTTCTCCTGTTCTTCTCGGACCAACTGACGCTGCTCTCGCTTTCGCTTAATCAAAGACACCCTGTCCTTGATAGCTTTTGCCATTGTCTTGTGATCCCCCTCGCAGACATAGCCAGATTCCACCTGAAGGAGGATACATTCACAGAATTCACAGTCAAACATGGCCACTGCTGTCATGCTACAATAAAGCTTATCACTATCTTGCACTAACTTCTCATTCTGAGCTTTGGAAGAGCTTTTACTTCTAGACGGTATCAGAGAATGACCCTCAATGCTTTGTAAGGCCACCACTTACCATTTCTTGTGCTACATCCTCTGGGACATCTCTCTCCAAGTCAAAAGAAAACTCTATTGCTTCGTTATCTTTATATTTGCCCTTGAGTTTTTTGATGTCTTCAATTCGCAGCCAGAGCTTAATAGCAATTTTTTCTCCATCATCTTCCTCTGCTAGTTCTACCCGTACTCCGGTCTCTTCTTGGAAGAAAGCATGATTCAAAAGATCCTTAATAGCATATCTAGCATATTGGGAAAGAGGGTAGAAAGCACACACAGTTATTAGGTTCTGATAAAATACTAAGGAACATCGTGCACTGATAGTACTACAAATTTATTCAGCTATACTTCCTGCTTCTCCCATTACTCATTTTGTAGTCTATAGTTCAAATTTCTGTTTTAAAGTGTGAAATTCAATAGAATGTTACTAGAGATATACAAAAAGTACACAAAATACACAGAAGTGCCAAGAGATTTTAAGTCAGCTGAACTAACAGGCTCTGTATCAACTAAAATAACCAACAAGAAACAATTTGGTTTTGTTGAAGATTAAGATCCAGTATGTAACCTTTCCTCCCCAGGTCAGTACAGTACTCTAAATAGATTTTCGAAGAAACAATTCGGTTTTGCTGAAGATCCAGGACGTAACCTTTCCTCCTCAGGTCAGTACAGTACTCTAAATAGATTAAATTAAATATTTTAAGATAGAATCCAAAAATCTCATCTAGTTAATTCAGCACTGGTTAAGCATCAGATCCTTCCCTTTAGATTTTCTATTACTTTTGAATCACTTCATCTTGTTTGGTTTGATGTAATCAGAAGTTTCGTCCTGAACTTATGATGCTACATATTTCTTCTGACATTGGGAACTGAGCTTGGCAATAACAGGCTTCAGACAAGTTCAAGTAGCAGAAAAAGGCATATTGAGAATCAGTTTTCATTTCATGATTCTTTGCCTGTAAGTTCTAATGGTGGCCACAGTTAGGAGTTCTAGGCTTTAACGCAGCTCCGGAAGCACTGTTTTCCATTATGTCCCTACACAGGAAGATCCTCTAGAAATTAAGCTATGAGACCTAATTAGAGGAAAGCCACCACACTGTACTAAAGAGCTGACAAGGCTTGACTTGCAGTCATATTAGCTCTACAGATTTGTGAGCAGTGTATGACAAGCATAAAGGCTACCCAACTAACAAAATTAAAAGACAATCTACACTCAGAAATGCACGGTGTAACAGCAGTAGTCTCAACGGCAAGGAGTGATGTGCAGTCACAAAACTAGCTTGTCCATAAACTGACAAAAAAATGGCTCTAGATACAAAGCCAGACAGGAGGACGGGGGTGCTAGAGAAAGACAGAAGGCTGAAGCACTCCTAAATCAGACCTTCAGGAAACAACAACAGTGGCAAAGCAGAAAAAAAAAAAAAACTTACAAATGAATCAACAGTTACAATATTACAGAAAATCTGTAAGTTAAGTACTTCAAGCAGAAATCATCCCACAGAAACTGGGAATAAATATGAACAGAAAAAATCAGAACAGAGAGTCCACAAAGTGATCAGTCATCACATGCCAAGAGAATCAAACAGATGGGGCGAGGAGGGAGGAGCAAGCAGAAGAGAAAGAGGAATCCAACAAACAATCCAAAAACTTGGAAAGATTGCCATCACTGTTTTACTGACTAGCTCACAGTTGTGGTAAGAATGGTGTATTTCCTGAACAAACTGATAAGGATGGTTGCTATAATATTAGCACTTTTCCTGCCAGCGTTTGCAAAAAACCCTCTAACACGAGTATCAAGCAAGAACTTACCAAAGAACCAAACTTGCAGAATTAGTGACAACTTAACTTTTGTCAAAACAAAATCATATGTCAACATACCAAGTTAATCATAACAGTTACAAAATTGGTGGATACTGAGAAGAACTCACCTTTCGCCTTTGTTTTGCCGAATGCATCCCTCGATAATCTCCTTCACTTCAGGGATTGCTACTTTATCAAAGCTGGCTGGCTTGACGCCCTGCAATATACAAGTAACAACAGAAATCCAGGAGGGCCCGCTTGGTTTAAGTTGTGATTGTGCAAAAATTTACCTACAGAACTACTACTTCTCCATAAATCATTGTCCTCAATTCCTTACAAGCACAAACTAAAGAAATGTGACCCCAACCTTACTGCTGAGACATCTGTTCCTAACTTTCACAAAAGTGGACTTTTTTCCCTGTTTCTTAATGACACTTCCATGACAAAAAGCTGTGGCAATCGGGTACTGAGTCCTGCCAAGACTACCTTTAAATTCCTCTGGAAGGAGTGTTGGTTAGAGAACACAGTTCAGACTGAGAAAGGAAGGAAGTATTTCCTATGTAGTAGTAATGCACAATAGGCACATAATTAATCTAACAGTTTTTAAAGGATTCTGTTGCTTCCTCTAATGTTTCCAGCATACTATTATATGAAGTAATTTGGACAAAGATTCATTTTACAGGAAGTGAAATTAGCCAGAAGATAGCATCTAACTGGATTATTAAAAAAAAAAAAAAATCCAACAATCCCAAACCCACCACACACACTTTTTTATATCTTCACCCTTGCCAGAAGACCAACTAAATGCAAACCACACTGTGATTGCTGCTCTGAGTTCAAAAAAAAGTGAACTTTGTAACATGGTCCTTTTCAAAAGCCCTTCAACAACACAACGTAATCCCTTCTCCAACGCATGATAAAGCCATTAGGGGCAGAGGAAACAAAACCTTATTATAAACCCTTCTTACAGCAGTATCAGCTGCTCATACCAGCCAACTAAACAGACCACAAGCACTGGCCAGTTGGAAATTCTACAAAACCAGGCAGGCAGAGAGCCCAAACCACCATGATTTCCTCATAACCAGAGCCTCCATACCAGGGCAGTTGTGCACATTGGCTCTTGATTTCACTTGACTCAGCCTCTACAAACTTTTAAAAGAGCAGACTGAGCATGGCTGGAGCCACCATGTTTAAATAACCTTATCTAGAGAGCCCTGGTTTTCAGACCAAACAGGTCATTAGTATCACTTGAATCCAGTAACTCAAAGCCTGTAGTACTAGTGTAGAGTGCTCATTATTGCATATACTTGATACATATGATCCTGTGTCACTGGTGAATCACAATTAAACAAGAACAAAACAAACAAACAAAAAAATCTCAGAATCTTAGATACAGAAGCATAGAAGAAATGTAGCAGTAGCACAAGCAATATGATTTGTGCCTTGATCACAGAGTACTGCTTTCACTGTACAAGCCGGTATCATTCCCATCAAGCAGGGACATCAAGACATGATCTTTCATACACAGAATCACTGAATGGTTGAGGTT